CCCCAAGGGAGCCGTGGAACCAGAGACCCTTCAGAGAGAAAGAGACATTCATTCCCATGGGTAGATCCCGAGACAAGGTGCTCCCTAAGGGAGACAGTCACTGAAATGTGGACCCTAAGCAAACCCCTAGAGAGAGCCCTCAAGGAGACACCTCCCCTGGAGACCGAGTTTCTCCACAGATGCCCTCGCCAATCCAGAACCGCCTTCCCTGGAAGGGCACAGAAGAATTGAGATGCTCTGTGCACCTCCACCAGCTCCCCACGATGCATGTAATTAATATGTACTGCAAACGTGTAGTAATAAAAATAAAAATGTTAATAAAAAGAACTGTTACCCACCCTCAAAATCGTTCCTGACAGATGGTGTCTTAGAGGGCTTGTTTCATTTCAAAGCCACCCCACCCTGCACACCCTGCGGCATTTCCTCAGGAAAATACCCCATGGGTGACATCATGTGGGACCTAGGGGAGGGTCCCTAAGGATAGACCCCGAGCCGCATTGTGGGAAATGGCCCACATTCACAAGATCCTGGAGTCCCAATAGGGACATCTTGATAGTGGGAAACCCCAGGGGAAGTGCCCCTCAGAAAGACATTGATGGTGGAGAGAGGGAAGAGGAAGAAAAAGGATTAAGATGTGTCACATAGCTCCCCCAGGAAAGTAATCAGTATGTTCTGCAAATATGCACTAATAAAAAATTTTAAGAATCAAAAAAGGAAAACGTTCCCATGCACACCCCACCCTCACCCCAACCTGTAGCCCCTTCAGCGACTCCTCCCTCGCGTTTAGGATTAAAGAGCCAGGCCAAGTCGGACTACATAAAAGAGATTAGCTGGTAGTTAGCAGGATGGGGGAGCCAGAGCGATTTTCAATCTTGCCCCGCATTCACACAGCTGAGCCCAAGCCAATCATGCTTTTCAGAGTTGGAGAGGAGGGCTTCTGGGCCCTGCGTGCTGCGAGCGCTGCCGCCTGGGGACTGGGGTGGGGGTGGGGGTGGGGTAGGGGGAGGGACAGCTTCTCACCCCACGGTGCATCCTGGAGCTGGTCCAGGGCTGCAGGGTGGGTCACCGGGTGAGAGCGACCCCTGCCGACCTCCCAGGTGACAGCGGGGTCTGGGTTGGGTCCGGGAGGTTCCTAGAAGCTCGCCCCTGTCTCTGCGCCCTTGCCCGTGCTGGGTCTGTGCCTCTTACGGCAGTTTGGGTCGTCTCGCTACAGGCGTTTATCTCCGCCCGAATCCTGGAGTCTTGAGTGCCTCCGCGGCTGTGGGAGCTCTCCGTGGTCCTGGTCCTGCACACTCCTGTCCGCGGTGCTGAAAGCCCAGCTCAGGCTCAGAGGCCGAGGACCAGGAGAGAGAGGACTGTGTGGACTGTGCAGACTGGCAGGAGACAAAGTCCAGGGACAAAGGAGCTATGTCCCCAAAAGTACCCAGAGCAAAATGGACCGGAGGAAGGCTGGGTTCTGTAGGTGTTGTTGGCTGAAGCCTCAGAACATTCCTAGGTGTCTACAGGAGACTCAGAGACAGCGTGTACTCCTTTACTCAACGTTTATTGAACACATACTGTGTTCAGCAGTGCTTTATTTATTTATTTTTTTTAATTTTTTGGCGGAACCGGGAATTGAACTCAGGACCTTGAGCTTGCCAGGGAAGCGCTTATTCTACTGAGCTATCTTTCCAGCCCCCAGCACAGTGCTTTAGGTTCTGAAAGTACAGCAAAAAAAAAAACACGGGGCAGACAAGGATGACCTTGAAGGTAAGGTAATCCAAACACTCAGGAGGCTGAGGCAGGAGGTTCACATTGAGTTCAAGGCCAGCCTGGGCTACATAGTGAGACCCTGTCAAAAAAAAAAAAAAAAAAAAAAAAAAGCTACACACAGTGACACACATCTGTAATTCCAGCACTCACTTGGGAGTACGAGGCAGGAGGATCCCAATGAGTTCAAAACCAGCCTGGACTACACAACAAGACCCTTTCCAGAAACAAAACCAAACCAAACCTCCAAAACAAGAGAATCAGACAGATCCTGTCTCATTTTGAGGTGGAGATGAGGTGGGTAATGGTAGCAGACACTGTTCACAAAAACACCTATGCTCATCCTGAAGGCACACACATGAATATGAACACAAACACGCATGTTCAGCAGACACACACATGAATGCCCACACTTTGCAAGCATATACTCAACAAATATAAACACACTTAAATACATTCTTCAAAAACACACTTAGAAGCATGTGCTTAGGAAATACAGACATACAAAAACATCGACACATACTCCCCACATGTATGTACCACATAGTCACATATATTCTTCTATCTTGTTCATTTGCTTGAGATAGGGTGTTGCTGGCCTTAAACTGACTATGTAACCCACACTGGCCTTGAGATTCCAGACATCTCCCTTCTGCCTCAGCTTCCTGAGTGGTTGTTTGTTTATTTTGTCTTTTTGAGACAGGGTTTGGCTATGCTATTCAGGCTGGCCTTGAGCTCATTTTGTAGCCCAGGCTGGTCTCAAACTCCAAATGATCTTTGCCTCAGCCTCCTGAGTGTTGGGATTATAGGCATGCACCACCACACCAGCCAGACATGCAAATTCTGCAAATATACACACATCAAAGCATACTATAGAGGGCCAGCCAAATAGCTTAGCGGATTAAAGCACCTACAAGCAGGTGCAAGGTCTGGGTTTGATCCCTGGGCCTGCCTGTGGGCCCTGCCCCTGGGGCACACTGAAACAGCAATTAAGATTGGGTGTGGTGGCACATGCCTGTTATCCCAGCTCTTGGGAGGCTGTAAATAGGCGGATCACTACAAGTTCGATCTAGTAGACCCTGAACACCCTGTAGATCCCTCTCTAAAATATAAAAAAGAGAAAGAAAAAAGAAAAACCAAACCATACTATAGAAACACAGGCCTACACAGGAACATACATAAACACACACACACACACACAGAAACCAACACTTTGAGAAAATTACAGGTACACACAGGTAACACAGATGCACACACATATCAAATGCAGTAGCACTGGGTATTCAATAGACAGCCTTTCTGTCACAGAATTTTTTTTTTTAATGTATTTGATACAGGGGCACACTATATGGCTCCAATTCGCAGTGATCCTGTTTTCAGCCTCCCCAGCGATGGGATTACAGGGGTGTGCCACCATGCCCAGTCTAGGTGGCTGGCTCAGCACACTGGATGAAGGGGCTGGCACCCGAGCGGCCTGTGATGCGAGGGATTAAACCCTGGTCCCTGCACTTGCCATGTAGGTGCTTAGTCTGCTGCGCAACCTTGCCAGCCATCGTCACCCTTGTCACAGTATTCCTCTACCAAAGATGCCCAGTTGCACACAGATCCTTACCCGACACCCTTATTCTCCCAACACCACGCCCCCTGCAGGGCTGTCTTCCCACCAACTCTGCCACCAGTGTGTGTGTGAAGTGTTGTGTCCTGCTCACTACCGCCTCCCAGAGCCTGGCACGAAGTACTGCTCTGAAGGCGTTAGCTGAATGAATGAGGGGAACAGAAGTGTTCGCAGAGACACACCTACAGGTGCCCCAGATGGATCCACGACACACACAAGCACAAGTTTCAGACAGACACACAACAAGCATGACAATGTTCCCTTGTTAACTCTTTGTCAACCCCACTGAGTGACCTAGAGCATCTTCAAAAGATTACTATCTACCCCTGCACACACGCAAGTGCATGCACACACACATGCACACACACGTCATTATTTTGCTTTTAGTTTTTTGGGGTGTGTGTGTGTGTGTGTGTGTGTGTGTGTGCTTGTTTTGAGACAAGGTCTGGCTATGTAATCCAGGCTGGCCTTGAACTTTTTTTTTTTTTTTTGCACTCTTTAAAATTTATTAAAACTTCACACAAATACAGACATATAGGAGTATTAGTATTTCCTTCCTGGATGCCACGAAGCTCTAGCTTCAGCAGGTCTGAGAGAAGACACAGATTACGCACCCTTGTGTCAACTCTCATGCGAATCCTGATCCCAGCGCAAGGATGGAGGAGACTCAAGGAGACTTGGCTGGAGTGATCACAGGTGAAAGGTCTCCCCAGGAGGTGGCATGGCACCTATGGCCTTGAACTTGTATCCATCTTCCTGCTTCAGCCTCTTCAGCACTGAGATTACAGGAGTGTACCACCTCCCCTGACTCCCCCAGGTTTATTTATTTTCCCCCCAGATTTATTTTTATATATACACTAACTGCACACATTTGGCCCAGGACACACCAAGATTCTGAATACACACACACACACACCCCACAGATATAGTTTAAGACAAAAGCCCAGTATCAGGGCTAGCACACAGATATACACACAAGTCCCAAATCTACAGGCTTCTGTAGGCGGGCCAGGGGTGGGACTATAGGAAGCCCCACCCACATTTCTAGCCACACCCCTTTCTGCTGCCCCGTGCCTGACTCCTGAGCAGTCCCAGCAGACGCCATACCCCAGTCCCGGCTCACAGGTGAGGGGCTGGGCCTGGGAGGCGGGAAGGGGCTCCTCTGGGTTCCACAAACAGGAAGCCTCCCCAACGTGTACCTTCGGGACCCCACTGTGATCCCAGCTCTGGTACAGTCAAGCTGGGTCCCAAGCTTATGCAGTGCTGGTGGCAGCTCCTAAGCCGATTGTAAGCTGAGAGAAGGTGACCCTGAGCCAGGCTGGCAGGGAGGGAGGAGGCTGGACAAAGAGAGGGAGGAATTATGGCCAAGGAGGGGGACTGGAAGATCTGGGACGGCCCTCTCGGCCCTGAGGACAGTGTTAAGTGCTGAGGACCGCAGGGTCAAGGAGACCTGCTGGAGGGTGGCATCTAGTCCTGAAGGGTGGAAGGGACATGAGGGGCACTGGAGTCAAAAGCAGCTCTACGGACCCCAGGTGCCGGAAGTGAAGGGCTCACTGGGGGCTCATCCCCAGTGCCACCTGTCTGAGTGCTACCCTGAATCCAGAAAGGACCCACCACACACACGTCTCCAGCCCAGCTGCTCTTATCCGAGGAAGACATGGCCTGCAAGAGCAACACTCGGCCCAGGGGCCTGGCCTGGGCCCTGCCACCAACCCTGGCATGGATACTACTAGGGGCCTGTGGTGGGAGTCGCCCTCCTCAAGCCAGGCCTCATGACTGCCATGGGCTGGCAGCTAAACTGGACACAGAAGAGCTGCAACTGGAAGGTGAGTGCCCAGACCCCACTGAACCCCCGCTGTTCAGGAACCCCTATTCTACCAAAGCAATGCCAGGATGTCCTTCAGGGGGCTCCAGGTGGCCGAGAGGGATGTGTCAGAGCAGAGACTCTGAGCTGGGCTTGGCAGCACACATGTTAATCCCAGCACTTGGAAGGCTGAAGCAGGAGGATTTCCAGCTTGAGAAACAATGCCAGATCCTATTTCAAAAGAAATAAACTGGGGCTGAGGTTATAGCTAAGTAGCATAAACGCCTGCCTGGCAAGTGCAAGGTCCCGTGTTCAAACCCTGGTACCATCTAAAAACAAAACAAAATAAAATAAACAACCCAACAATATGGGCCAGGGGTCAGGGATATAGCTCAGTGGCACAGCACCTGCCTGGCAGGTGCAAGGTCCTGAGTTCAATTCCTGGTACAAACAAAAAAGCCATAAATAAATAAAACCTGGGCTGGTGAGATGGCTCAGTGGTCTAAAGCACCTACTTAGAACAAGCTTAGCAAAGCACAGGGACCACAGTTCAATCCCCCATGCACCATATGCCAGCCAGCCCGCCCCCTGGTGGGCTGAGCTGGCCACACACACAGAGAGACTTAAATAAATAAATAAATTTAAAATAAATAAATAAATAAAACCGTCACTGCCAACAACATGGGACAGGGATACAGCTCAGTGGTACAAGCACCTGCCTGGCAAGCACAAGGTCCTGAGTTCAATTCCCAGGACCAAATAATAACAACAACAACCCACTGACAAAAGCAAACCAATCCAAATCCCAGATCTACTAGTTCACACCTGTACCTCTCCAGGCCACCAGAGAGGCCTTCTGAAAGATTAAACATAGGAACACTTATACCATTTCCAGGCACCAGGCAAATCTAAGCTGATTACAAGTGATACAATCATTCCTGCTAGAAGTACACCTGTGGCCCGAGAAGAATCTTTCTGTTTCATGTTTGATTTGGGTTTTGGTTTTCTGAGACAATATCTAACTATGCAGCCCAGGCTGGCCTCAAACTCAAGGTGATCCTCCCACCTCAGCCTCCTTAGAGCTGGGATGACTACTGTGAGCCACATCACTCCTCGAGAGTTTGCTCTTTGAGTGGCCTGGTGTGATTGTAGTGTCCTTTGTTAGGGGACTCTCCAGCCTCCTTTCCACAACCTTACCTGATGATTCAAGCCCCTGGCTCGAAGGCAGCTCCACTGCCAGCGCCTTGTTGTCCCTCCGAGGTGGACAGACCCAGGGAGCAGGACCCTGGAGCTACCTGGGAGCTCTGTGGGGCGCCGAGCCCTGGGTGAGTACATTGACCCCCTAGTGTGGCTCTGCCTGGAATCAAGACCCTACCTTCTTACCTGGGTCCTGACCATCTGCCTTGTCTCTAAGGTCTAGATGCAAATCTTTCCTGGGACATCTGCAGAGCATCCTTCACCATCGCTTCCGCCTGCTGCTACTAGGCCTGCGCCGGGCCCCACCACTCTGTGCTGAGCTCTGCGAGACCTGGTACTGGGGGCTGGGGAGGAAGGAGAGGGCCCAGGGATGGGAAGGGGGAAGCTAGGCTGGGGCTTGAGGCTCTTGGCCAGCTTGGAGCGGTTAAAGTGCCTGTCCCGCCTGCAGCCACCCAAGGGACCTGTGTATAGAGGTGAAGTATGTATGACCTGGCTTTAAAAAAAAAAAAAAAAGAGGGCCGGGCAGGCAAGATAGCTCAGTGGTCTAAAGTGCCTGCTTAGGCAAACATGCAGGGACCTTGGTTCAATCCCCAGCACCACATGCCATGCCAGCCCCGCCCCCAGGGTGGGCTGAGCTGACCATAAAATAAACAAATAAATAAAGGAAACATTTAAATAAATAAATAAATAAAAAGAGGGCCAGCCAAATAGCTCAGGGGATTAGAGCACCTGCTAGCAGGCTCAGGGGCTCTCAGGCTCAGGGGCTGGGGGTTTGATCCCACTGAGGCACGCTGAGACAGCAACTGAGACTGGGCGTGGTGACACGCGCCTGTAATCCCAGCTCTTGGGAGGCTGTAAACAGGCTGATCACTACGAGTTCAATCTACTAGTAAGACCCTGAACACCCTGTAGACCCTTCCCTAAAATACAGAAAAAAAATTATTTATTTGGTATAGGCTCTTGCTACACAGTTTGGACTTGTAGTGATCCTTCTGTCTCAGCCTCCCCAGAGCAGGGATTGCAGGTGTGTGCCACCACACCTAGTTTCACCAGGGATGGAACTCAGGTCCTTGTTCTTTCCACAAAGGCACTTAGACTGCTGAGCTATCTCCCCAGCCCCTGAGGACCTCTGGCTTTAAAGATGGCAATTGGGGGCATGGCCTCTCATGGGTGGGAAAGTTTGCCTATTGTTTTGTTTTGCGTGTGTGTGTGTGTGTGTGTGTGTGTGTGTGTGTGAGAGAGAGAGAGAGAGAGAGAGAGAGAGAGAGAGAGAGAGAGAGAGGGTTTCACTATGTATTCCAAGCTGACTTTGAATTCACTAGGTAGCTCAGGCTGGCCTTGAATTCATGGCAATCCTGTTTGAGCCTCCTGAATGCTGGGATTTCAGGGATGTACCGCCAGCCTGGCTGCTAATATTTTTAAACTTTTTTTTTTTTTTTGCACTGAGAATTGAACCTATGGTTTTCACATTGAAGTACATCACTAGTGCTTTTACTTTATTTATTTATTTATGTTCATTTAGAGGGCCAGGCAGATGGCTCAGTGGAAATAAGCACTTCCCTGGAAAGCATAAAGGCCTGAGTTCAATCCCTGGTTCCACCAAAAAAAAAAAAAAAAAAAAAAAAAAGTCCTTTATTTACATTTAGTACAGGGTCTACAGGGTTTCACTACACAGATCGGACCCGTAATGATCCTCCTGTTTTCAGCCTCCCAAGCACTGGGATTATAGGCATGCGCCACCAAGCCCAGTATCAGTCACTGTCTCAGTACGTCCCAGGGGGTAGGGCCAGCACAGAATGCCAGGGATCAAACCCTGGTCCCTGCATCTGCCTAAGCAGGTGCTTTAATCCACTGAGCTATCTGGCCAGCCCCCACTTTTATTTAATTTTTTATTTTATTTTTTTCTGGCAGAACCGGGGATTGAACTCAGGCCCTTGTGCTTGCCAGGGAAGCACTTATTCCACTGAGCCATCTCTCTGGCCCCCCACGTTTATTTAATTTTTTTTTTTTTTTTTTTCTGGAACCGGGGATTGAACTCAGGCCCTTCCACTTGCCAGAGAAGCACTTATTCCACTGAGCCATCTCCCCGGCCCCTAAAATAATTTTTGTATACGGTCTCTAAATTGCCTACTCTAAGCTCAAATTTTCATTTCTCCTGCCTCAGCCTCCCACAGTGCTTGGACCACCATGCCAGGAAGGTGTGGAGTTTTTTAAAATATAGAACCTCTTGATTGAAAAGAGAAAATAAAAGATAGCAGTAAAACCGAGCGTGGTGGCGTGTAAGTGTAATCCCAGCGCTGGGGAGGCTGAGACAGGAAGATTACTATGAGTCGGAGCTACATAGCAGAGAACCTATACAAAATAAGTAAATGAATAAATAAATTTAAGAAATATTTTCTAAAAAGAGAAAAAAGGGGCATTACGGGGCTCACTGGAACACACGCTATAGAGATGAGGCTGTGTGACGTAGCCTGGTTAGGAGTATGAGCCACGATTATCTATGCACCTGGCGTAGTGTAGTATGGCTCAGGAGTAGAATACTTCCTTAGCATGTGGAAGGTCCCGAGATCAATCACAAGCACATCAAAAACAAATAAAAGTTCATTGTAAGAAAGAAGCTACCAAGTGTGGTGGCACATGCCTATAATTCCAGCACTTGGGAGGCTGAGGCAGGAAGACTACATGGAGCTTGTGGCCAGCCATGAGCTTCATTGTGAGTTTAAGGACTATATGACCTAGACAGTGAGACCTTGTCTGAAAGAAACAAAGAGCAACAGGGCCAGGACCAGACGCTGGGCCACCAGTGGGCAGGGACTTGGAGAGCAGGAGTATTACTACCTACACCTGCCATCGAGGCCCTGAGCTGCTCTCTCCACGTTACTCCAGGCTCACCACCTGCAAAGCTGATATTGCCTGTGGCCCAACCTGGTTGCCGACCTCAGAAGACAGGGCCTGCGCACCCAGCTGCCGCACCTATGGGCAGGTGAGTGTGGGGCAGAGGGCGAGCGCGGGAGACAGACGTCCTGCCTTGATGTTGTCTCGCAGGGCCAGTGCCCCATCTCCATCCATCCAGCCTGTCCAAGTCCTTTCTAGGTTGGGGATGGTGGCACAGGCCAGTTACCCAAGCACTCAGGGGACTGAGGCAGGAGGATGCTCTGAGCTCAAGGCCAGCCTGAGCTGCACATCCAGAGCTCACCTTAAAAAACAAAAAAAAGGGGGCCGGTCAAAGAGCTCAGAGGATTAAAGCACTTGCTTAGGCAGACAGCAGCCAGGCTTCACTGGGTTCGATCTGCCCATCCCCACCAGCCCTGTGCCTTGCCCACCCGGCCCCTGGGGCAAGCTGAGACTGCGATTGAGACTGGGCATGGTGGCACGCGCCTGTAAACCCAGTACTTGGGAGGCTAAAAACAGGGTAACTACCGAGTCTGACCTATGTAGTGAGACCCTGTCCTGAAATACAAAAAATAATTTTAAAGGGCCAGGGATATAGCTCAGGGGAGTGATGCCTGCCTAGCAAAGGCAAGGTTCTGAGTTTGATTCCGGGTACCAAAACAAAACACACACACACACACACACACACACACACACACCCAAAGGAAATCTGGATATGAGGACCCAGTGATTCTTCCAATGCCCTGTCCAACTCCCAACCTCACATGTGACAAACAGCAGTTGGGCTCTCCCCAGGCCTCGTCCCCTGCAACCTAGACTCCTCAGAGCGGGGCTCTAATCCCACCCCTTCTCTGGCCCAGACCTTCACCGATGGGGTGGACCTCTGTCGCTCAGCCCTGGGTGTCGCCCTGCCAGTCGCAGCTCCTGGCTCCCGCCATTGCCTCAACCTCCCCACATCGGTGTCTCCCCGTTGCGGACCCAGCCGGCATGCCCGGGAAACTCATCCTTCTGTTCCGGACGCCTTGGGCAGTGGCAGCGGCAGCGGCAGCGGCCCCTAGCAGCCACCTCCGGAAGCGACCCAAATTCAGGCACTGTCTCCTCCCTCTTAATAAAGGCTCTGCCAGAACTTTTGGTGTGGCTGCTCCTTGGGACAAGAATTGTTGGAAAGCGAGGGGTCTCACTACACAGCACTAAATCCTCCTACAACAGGCCTAGGAGAGCCTGCACCCTCCCCAACAGAAGGGGAAGCTGAAGCAGGAGGATCACCGTGAATTCTGTCTGGTCTGGGCTACGTAGAGAGACCCTGCCTTTAAAAATAATGTAGGGACAATGTCCCTTTAATGATTCATATTCCAGGTGATATGGAGATGGGTAGATCAGCCTTTCCCTGTCCTCTGGGAGGGTGAGGTAGCATGGAAAGGGTCTCCTTGGGGAGGAGCGCTTGGGCTTTATTCAGCTGTGAAACTCACTCAGCAAAGTGTCTTTCAGCTGAAACAGAGGATGCTTCTGGGAAGGCTGGATCCAGGGTTTCACAGGATGTTAGAAATCTACAAGGCTCTGGTGGTGCATGCCTGTAATCCCAGCACTCTGGGAGGCTGAGGCAGGAGGTTCACAAGTTAGAGCTCAGCCTGGCCAATGTAGGAAGACCCTGTATCAAAATAAAAGGGGCTAGGAAAACTTCAGTTTCCCTGGGGTTCAATCTCCAGCGCCGTACTCACACACTCAATCTCTGTGTATTTTTCTACTACACTCTGGACAAGAGCTCCTCATAGCAGCAAACATGGGCAGTGACCCCACGACCCAGGGGCCGTGACATGGCCTGTTAGTAGACGCACTGGCCTGGCAGGCATCAATCCATTAGCTCATCACCACACCAATGACAGTGCCCAGGGGACACTGTGTCCTGCTGGCCCGATCTGGGTTATGATGGTGCCTGAGGGGGGCTGACAGCAGGAGAGGGGTAGCTTCCCCAAAGGAGAATCAGGCACAGAGAACCAGAAGTGGGAAAGAGCACTGGATAGGGAGTCAGGGCACAACAGCAACACTGGGCATGGTAGCACATGCTTGTCACCCCAGCACCCAGGAGGTGGAGGCAGGAGTGTGGTCCTGAGTTCAAGGCCACCCTGAACTACATAGTGAGACCTTGTCTCAACAACAGCCCTGGGCCGGGGAGATAGCTCAGTAGAACAGGTGCTTGCCTGGCAAGTGCAAGGTCCTGAGTTCATTCCCCAGTACCGCCAAAAAAAAAAAAAAATCAACAACAGCTCCTCCCACCCTTAAAATCAAATGGTCAACTGCACAACGCCCATTCCATTTAGGTTCCAAAAGGTAGCAGCCGTTCCCCTGGTAAGCACCACCCTCATGCCCCCTGTTCCCTAAGTATAGCCCTTGGACTCAGTTTGTCCTCAAACAACTTTAATCCTGGAGGCAGGGAGGCCAGCACAGGGCAGCTGGCTGGCTCCTAGAGGGCAGTGGCTGACTCCAGGCCACGTTCCTGGAAGTACCGGTGTGGGGGGCGTGCCTGGGGGCCTTCGCTTTGGAAGTAGGATGTGATCTTCCTGGATCCCTCCTGCTCCTCGGCTGCTGAGTCCTCCCTGGGAGAAAGGGGGGCACTGACCACTTCTGGCTGAGGCTCAGCCTCCTGCCCTGCCGCCCAGGACACCCGGGTGACACCCACCATGTAACACCTTCCGCCTCCTTCTCCAGGATGGCCTGGGCTGTACGCCAGCTGAACCGGACAAGCTGTGGGAAGCCAAACACGGGCTCTACGTGCTTCCTCAGCCAGGCTTTCGTCTTGGGGTCTGGAGGGACAGTGATTGCAACAGCGCTGAGCACAGAGGGACAGCTGAGCCCCTCCCCAGGCACGCTGGATTCCTCCCAAGTCCCTGAGGCTGCTCTGTCACTGTCTCCTTCCAGCCTCAGCCCTTTGTACAGGTAGGCAAGTCCCGCCTCCCGCAAGGCACCTGGTCGCTGGGCTCATGATGCCATCTCAGCGCTGCGGGAGGCTAAGGCAGGGGACAGCAAGTGTGAGCCCAGCCTGGGGTACTCAGCAAACTCAGCAAAATCTTGCCTTAAATAGGGCTGGTGGCACAAGCCTGTAATCCAAGTGCTGGGGAGGATGAGGCAGGAGACTGTTACAAGTTCAGCATCAGCTTGGGCTACAAAATGAGCTCAAGGCTAGCCTGAACGGCATAGTGAGACCCTGTCTCAAAAAGACAAAAAAAAAAAAAAAAAAAAAGATCCTGTCAAAATTTTTAAATAGGTTTAGGGATATAGGTCAGGCCAAAGGGTTTGTATTCAATCTGCAGTACTGACAGAAAAAAAGAAAGTAGTGCAGCTTATGGGGCAAATTCCTTTAAAACACTCCCTTGAGCCACACACCCACGCCTGTAATCCCCTCACTGGAACTGCAAGGCTGAGGCAGGAAGATTGTTGGGAGTTAAGCCCAGACTGGGCTACAAGGTGAGCTCAAGGCCAGCCTGAACTGCACAGTGAGAACATGTCTCAAAAAGACCAAAACAACAACAACAACAAAATCCACTGGCCCCAAGGACAAGGATCATGAGACAAGCATTTCATGGAATTTGCCTTTTTCTTTTGGAGGGTGCGGAGGGAGAAGGGGGGGGTGCTACTGGGAATTGAACCCAGGACCTGTGCAGCAGATACATACCCTGTCCTTTTACTTTTGAGACAGTGTCTGTGGGATTTGCTGCACTGCCCAGGCTGGGCTGGAACTTTCAGCCCTCCTGCCTTGGCCTCCCAGTGTACTGGGATGCAGGTGTGTTCCACCATGCCCAATTCCAAAGTGGTTTTAGCTTCCCGAGTTCTAGCCCACAGGCTACCTCTGTTGCTCTACCCAACTGCCAGCCCCTTCCTGAGCCCCCAATCAGTAAACCCCTCAAACCCAGCTGCTGATTCCTCACTTTATCTTTGGTGCTGGGGAACAATGTCAGAGTTGAGCACGTGAAATGCACCTCTTTTTTCTTTTCTTTTTTTTTTTTTTTTTTTTGGTATTTTTTAGGGAAGGGTCTACAGGGTGTTCAGGGTCTCACTATTAGATCATACTAGTAGTGATCCGCCTGTTTACAGCCTCCCAAGAGCTGGGATTACAGGCTCAATTGCAGTCTCAGTGTGCCCTGGGGGTGGGGCCAGCATGGCAAGCGCAGGGATCGAACCCCTGGCCCCTGCTCCTGCTTGCAAGCTCTTTCATCCGCTGAGCTATTTGGCTGGCCCTTGAAATGCACCTCTACCACTGAGGTGCCCTGCCCAGTGCTCCACCTTTAGGCAGCAGAATAGAGGCAAGCTGGAGACTAGCCTGGGCTACATAATGAGTTCAAGGCCAGCCTGGACTACATAGTGAGACATACGGGACATCCTCTGCTCACCGTTGGGGTAGCCAGAGCCATAGTCAGCATCCAGGTCCTGCACTTTCTCCACGAACTGCCAGCTCTTCACAGCCTGGTCTCGAGCCACCTGGGGCACAACAGGAGCTGGGACTCTCCCCCGCCTCCACCACCTGCCTGCCCCATGCTCAAGGGCATGCCAGAAGCTGGCAGTAGCCAGCAGGCCCTGACCTTGGCACAGATGCTGGCAGCGCTGACCACAGGATACAGGGCATCCGCTTTGGCTTTGACAGTCACTGTAATGTCAGGGAATCGCTTCTGCAGCCGCTCCTGGTATGTCTCTGCCAGCCCCACGGTGTCCACAAATACCTGTCATGGTGACAAAAATGTATTCAGAGGGGGCCGGGGAGATGGCTCAGTGGAATAAGCGCTTCCTTGGCAAGCACAAGGGCCTGAGTTCAATCACTGGTCCCCCCCCCCCCCGCCCAAAAAAATGTATTCAGTTGGGCCACGGAGACAGCTCAGTGGCATAAGCGCCTGATGACTGGCACGTGCAGGGATCCGAGTTCGATCCTAGCCACTGCAGAAAACAAACCAACAAAAAAAGGAAAACAACATATTCAGTCAATAAATAGCTGAAGAAACAATTAGGCAAGGGATCCAACCTCTCAGCCTTTCACTTACTGTTCCCACTGTACCCACATACTTTTTCTATGGTGCTGGAGATTGAGGCCACCACACATGCTAGGCCACCACTGAGCTATAGCCCCAGCCCTGACAAAATATATTTTATTTTAGACAAAAAAAAACAAGAGGACCTGAAGATGCACACCCGAAATCCCAGCACTTGGCAGGCTGAGGCAGGAGGATTGCCACAAGTTCATGGCCAGCCTGGGTGGGCTACATAGAGAGACCCTGTCTCAAAAAGAAAGGGCTGGGAAAAAAAAAAAAAAAGGGCTAGGGCCGAGGAGATGGCTCAGTAGAATAAGTGCTTCCCTGGCAAGTGCAAGGGCCTGAGTTCAATCCCCAGTTCTGGAAAAAAACAACAACAAAGGGCTGGGGATACAGCTCAGTGGCACAAGAGCCTGCCTGGCAAGCAAAAGGTCCTGAATTAGATTCCTAATTAGCCCTCCCCGCCCCCCCCAAAAAAAAAAACAGGATAAAGAATAGAGTGGTGCCAGGGAGATGGCTCAGTGGAATAAGTGCTTCCCTGGCAAGCACAAGGGCCTGAGTCAATCCCCGGTTCCACCAAAAAAAAAAAAAAAGAATAAAGAGCACCAAAGAGTTAAAATAAGCTATAATTTTTGTTATTATTGTTATGTACTCTAGGCTGGTTTTTTTTTTTTTTTTTTTTTTTTTTTTTGCATTGAGTACAGGGTATACAAGGTCTACAGGGTCTCACTATGCGCTGGGCTTTCACTCATGGGGATACTCATGCCTCAGCCTCTCAGGCGCTGGAATTACAAGCATGCCTCACCAAGCCTGATGGTCATAATTTGAAGCAGCAAAAAGTAAGGTTCAGAGAAGATCCAAGGAAGTGACTATTGAAAAAAGGTTTGAAGGAGGAGGGGAAGGAAGGCAGGCACGTGAAGATCTGGAAAAGAGTGCTCAGGAGGCGGGAACAGCTGGTACACAGGTCCTGACTGGGAGCCTGCAGAGAATGCTCAGGAGCGGTGCGCTGGCTCGAGCCCGGAGCGCAGAGGTGAGGTCCACAAACTGAGGAGGGTGCACAGCACCTCCACAGCTACGCCAGTTTGCAGGCCCACCGCTGAGCAAGCACAGGCCCACAGGCTCCTCCTCAGCACAGCCTGCATGCTGCGTCCCCTACATCAGGTGCATTTCCCCATCATCTTCTCGGAACAGCCTGTTCTTTGCCGCCCAGAAATCAATGCCAGGCCAATGCATGTTTCTCCCTGATAATTTAAACTCGTTCTCCCCCATTTGACGTAACTTCCCAATTTAATTTCCACCGTGATCATAAAATTAAATGTCAAGATTTACATTTCACAAAGATGTCGGTCTGCCGCGTGGGGAGCAGACTGAAGAGGAGAGGGCTGGAGGTGGGGGCCAGGGAGGGAGCTGGGCAGGCCTAGGGGAGGGGGACTGGCTTAGGACAGATGCTGTGGGAAGGCAGAAGGATGTAGGATTTGTTCCAGACCTTTAGAAGAGGGTATGGAGCAGACAAGTGTGCCACACGTTAGGGCAAAAGGAATGCATTCACAATGGACCTCATGCTAACCTGCCCACTGCAATTTTCCCCCCCTAGAATTTCACTTTCCTTATTTTGGGAAGGATGGAAATGATCCAGGACCTTGTACATATTAACCACAAACTATACTTTTTTTTTTTTTTTTGGCAGAACCGGGGATTGAACTCAGGCCCCTGCAAGCGCTTATTCCACTGAGCCATCTGCCTGGCCCCAACAAACGATCCTTTTAACACCCATTGTACTTTTCTTTTTTAACCCACCCATTTTTATCCAAAGGTAATCAAAATGATTAAAAAGAAAAAAAAAGGTTGGCTCACCTGGGTGACATTCACACCCTGGTCCAATGCATACTGGATCAGCCCTGAGGCTGTGTCGTGGGAGAGGGAGTTCAGATTGTATTTGACCCTGCAGCAGTGGGGACAGGGCTCAGTTGGCCTCATTCCAGCCACAGGACCCAACCCATTCACGTTGGCTGTCCCTCCACGCCAAGCTGTCAGGGACCCTCACCGCCCAAGCATGCTGGTGGAGATGAGGTTTGGAGACAGCACGTCCAGGGCCCAGCCCACAAAGTCCCGGTCCTCCTCCATTTTCAAAAACAGCCTGTCCCGCTCGTTCTCCGACAGGGTCTTTGAGTCTGGGAGGAGGTTGAACAAAAAGGGGGCGGCCAGTTCTCTCAATTCCTATGCTCCCCTCCACTGTCCACCTGCCCCCTGCACCTGCAGGGATCCATCCCCAGTTGCACACTTCAGGCTCACCTGCTACTTTCAGGGCCTCCAGATCTGTCAGGCGGGACTGGGGACAATAACAGATGGCGTAGACCATTGGGCCTGGGGAGGAGGGAGATCAGGTTTCCAAGAGCCGGATGAAAGAAAGCAGAGAGCCCTCGGAAGCTGCAGCCCGAGTCCCATCACCCCAGCTTTCTCTGGTGTCCTTGATCTTCCCAAGATCACTGCCCCACCCCAAACCAGACCCTAATCTTTGCATCACGCCCTTCACATCCCCAGCCCTGCGAGCCCACCCAGCACGGGTCCCCGGCCAGCTTCGTCCACGCCCAGAACACAGGGCTCTTCGCGACACACGGCAGGCACAGGTGAGCTGAGGCGACAGCGGCCAGTATTGTCCTTCTCTAGCTCGCTGAGGTCCATGCTGACGCCGCCAACACCTGCAGTAACCAACGGAGCAGGTTCCGGTCCCTGCGTCTTTCCCGCGGACCCACCGAGCCCGCTAGATTCTGACCAATTGATACACAGGACACGCCCCGACGTCCCCGCAGGCCTTGCGAAACAGGAACTGTGAACGTTGCCCTGTGGCCTTGTGGGAATTGTAGTTCAGGAGGGTTCCGCCGAGGAGGTAGTTCGCTGTACAGGGTGGGTAGGGTCGCTTTGCAAACTCCGCCCTGGGACCTCAAGGGCTCTGCCTGGGGAGGCTAGTGACAAGACAGAAAATAAAGGAAACTGAGGCACAGCTCAGACTGCTTTTGGACCTAGAAGGTCAACTATCACTGTAACCCCAGAACTTGGTTCTTCAACACCCACCTTGCATTCATATCCCAATACTCCAGGCCTCTCCCTTTCACATAGGGAGTCTGCCCCCTGGATTTAGGGGTTCTTTTCTTTCACTGATCTCAGGACCCCTACCTTGGGGTTCCTGAGCTCTCTCCCTTGGTCGCCCACTCAGATCTTCACTATACTCAGGACTTCTTTCTACTGTCTCACTCAACCCAAGCCTCTAGCACTCTGGGAGACTGAGACAGGAGGATGGCAAATTCCAGCCTGGGCAACTTAGTGAGTCAACCAAAACCTGGTCTGAAAATAAAAAGAAAGCCAGGCTGGTAGCCCACTATTGCAATCCCAGCACTCAGGAGGCTGAAGCAGGAGGATCGCCACAGTTGGAGACCAGACTGGGCCTTATAATAAATTTAAGGCCTGCCTGGACTACATAGCAAGATTTTGTCTTAATAAACAAACAAAACGTTGGTGATGTACCTCAGGGCGAACATCCAGGATTCAATCCCCAGTACTAGGAAGAAAACAGGGCTCATGCCAAGTCTCCCCTACCCTTAATGGAGATTCCAGACCCCCACGGATTCCTGTTCAGGATCTTCATCCACCACGTGGGTTCTTTTCTTGACACTCAAGGTTTCAAGAGATCTGCAGCTCCACCCTATCTCCCATCTCAGCTGAGCTCTGGTTCCCAGTTCCTTCCACCATTCCATTACCCCTGCCTCTTCCCTGGTCGCAGTGGGGACACCTGAACTCTGCCTGGAATTCCTGATGCCCTCCCTTAGGGTCCCATCTCTTGTGTCTCTAGCAACCCTTCTCCACACTCACTATCTGTGCAGGAGGGTCACCATGAGTTAAAGGCCAGCTGATTCCCTGCTCCCCTTCCCTTCCTAGCCTGACCCCATCCCTTAGCCTCTCCTTGCTGACACCTTCCACAGCTACTGCAGACTTTGGCCAGCCACATCTTTCTTGCCTCCTTGCACAGGGCTCACCAGCTCAGAACCTCCAGCCGCAGTCCATTGGACGGCAAGACGCACAGTCCCGCTGCCGGCAGGGCCTCACCTGCAGCAAGCTCTCACGGTCCATGAACACGGGGCCTGGCACCTTGCCCAGCACCTCACGGCTGCGCTCCTGCTTGCCTATGTCGCACAGACAGCGCCACTTTCCCCACGGACCAAGGATAGAGTCCTCCTTGACTAGAGAGGGAGGAGGGACATAAAGACCGGGTAGGGGCACTTACAACCCCCATGCCAGGATTTGGTGCGTGCCTATCATCCCAGCACCTGCAAGGCTGAGAAAAGTGGATCCCAAGACCAAGCCAAGCCTGGATAATTTAGCAAGACTCTGTTTCAAAGGAAGGAAGGAAGGAAGGAAGGAAGGAAGGAAGGAAGGAAGGAGGGAGGGAGGGAGGGAGGG